GTGGGAGGCAACGATGATGTCCACACAACCGCGATATATGATCAGTATTTTCTCTCGATAGCGGGAGACGACGATGATGTCCACATGACCGCGGGAGACGATCAGAATTGTGCTACAAATTGTAGACGTTGATAATATCCACACGACCGCGGGAGGTGATAAGAATTTTGCTTTCATCGCAAGAGACAATGATATGAACTGCGTGTGAGAATCAGAAGTTTGCTGCAATAGAGGAAGACGATGATAGCTTCCATGACTGTGGGAGGCGATGATAATGTGTACAAGACCACAGAAAATGATCAGAATTTCGCTGCGATTCTGGAAGATCACGATAATATTCACACAACTCTGGTAGGAGTTCATGATTTTGAGGGGTCTCAAAAGACGATTGTTATGCTTTATACTAAAGATTAATGTACATTGGCCTACGGTAAAACACGATGTGCATGCACGTATCTTGAGTATAAATAGACTATGTTGTCGTCCTCACCGTCTCGTCTCCATTGTTTGACCTTTGTACTTGTTTGGACCTTCACTTCTTATCTATTGTTCTTAGTATTATTATGGCTACTTTACATCTCCCTCCGACTTATAAAAGAAAACTTAATCTTCTCAAAAAATAAAAACTTGTTAGGTTACTTCACCTTTTTTAAGACAATTCCCTTCCAATCTATATAAATAAAATTAGAGTTTTGTCTGTACATTGCTCAGAATCATACATTTTTAGGTTATTTTTACGTTTTATACATTAAAGAAGCCGAAACAAATCTCATCTAAATTTCTGTCTGTCTGTCTGTCTGTCTGTCTGTCTGTCTGTCTGTCTGTCTGTCTGACACACTCAAGATGGCATTTTACGCAATCTTCTCCAGGAAAACGAGAGTACCTATCAAGACCCAAGTCATTTTAATGTATTCACTGGATTGGCGAGAGTGTCTTTAGCCATTAAAATATGGTCTCACTACTTTGTAATTAAAATTACGGCCGTTCAAAAATGCAGTTTTGTGCGATTTTTGTCAAGTTTTCTTCCAATTTGTATCACATAATCATCTATGAAACAACGAACAGCTGTTCGGATCAAGATTATTTTTTCTAGCTGTCACTGAAATGTTTACAAATGTTGTTTACAAACACCACAACCATTTCCGATCACGTTTTGAAGGCAAATCCCATCCAAGTGAGATTAAAAACGTTTTTATTACATAAAGGATTTAATTAATCGCAAGTGGAATAATATAAAGTAACCGTAAATTAAATAACTAGGCATCATCCAGGTCAGGAACCAGAAATATGTGTATAAAATTGTTTTGGAGTTTTGATAACCAGAAAGAAGACATTGAATCAAGATTGAATCAGTGTTTTATACGGCTGGGAAACTTAAATTTACTAATGACCGTCGCCAATAGCTTAGAAACAATGTTCCACTCATTGACGGCTCTTCAATGGCGGTTGTGTAAAGTGTAAAGCAAAAAATTACAACTGCAGTGGGTGATTGTAACAGAGGTTTACGGATGATGCTGAACTCGATTTTCCAATGTGTCACTTTCTGTTCCTACCATTGACTATATAAAGTCAATAGTTCCTACTCACCGTGTGATGTAATCGCTGGACCATACAGCCAATAGGCCCATAGCCCTTCTCTTGGGTACGTGTGGTACGTATGCTTACCCAATTATTTATAACAACGCTTTCGACAACGATCCTTGATACCGGTACTTTTCCATAGAATACACGGCCTACCTAGGTACTTAAGAAATGAAATTATAAATGTCAAAAAACCCAACGTTGTGTGATTTTTGTCACATTTCCTTATAATGTTAATATATATACCAGCAACCATTGTTTAGAGAATACGTAATCTATTAAATAACAGAAAGTTATGTTGTATAAGGTTTTTTTCAAACTGACACCGATAAGTTTACATTAAGAGTTGTGTACAAATAAAGCAATTAATGGGAAATAACTTTGATTGCCGATAACTTTTTACGAGAAAATCCAAAACCAAGAGATCAATAACCTTGATTAACGCATATAATTGGTCGGCTGTACTACAGTTCTTAACTGTAAACGTTGGTTTTTGGTACGGTACTGGTTCTTTTCCTTTTAACCTTTAGTAGCAGCAAGAATCATTTTTACGTACCAACACATCACAGTAATTTACAAATTAGTTATCGTTGGTGTTGCACCTTATTTATTACAGGCGTAGGCCTATTCAATTTAATTGATGTCTTAACTGTATAATTTTTGCTTTTTCTGTCTGGATTCCAAAATGTTATGCTAAGAAAACTATAACGCATTTTAGTAAAACATTTATTCAGCAAACCATCATGAATTGTTCAAACACTTTGAACGTTGTTTATGTATCAATAGTTCGTGGCCTATTTTGGTAATTTTTATTACAAATTACCAATCTAAATCGTCTATAGTAGGCCTACTGTACTTCATTTCATATAGCAAACCGATTCAGATAGCATTTCGACAGAATTTCGAGTCATCTCCGGTCCAAGCAAATATAAATTGTTATGATCAAATTTTATGGCTTTAACAAAGATTTCAAGTACTAATTTTATATGTACCTTTTTATGCTTAAAGCGTAGCAGATTCCCTAATTAAGTTCGGTATTTTTGTGTGTATGTATGATGGTAACGCATTAATGTCCTTGTTTCTCAATGTTTCACGGAAAGGACAAGAGCGCCTTGATAATGAAAATGTCAACCCGAATAAAGTGTTAAATTAAGAGGTTGAGGTAGTACCTTAAATACTTTTAACCATTATGTTATAGTCCTTTAAATTCTGAACAAAATTGTACAAATCCCATTTCCGTATGTTTACTCTCACCGCTTACACATGATAAAGGCTGTTGACAAACTTATGGGAGAAAGTATGTGTCAGAATGCTGATACCGTTTATTTAGTTTAATCATTGGATATAACATATGGACCAACAAGATCCGGGTGACATTTAATTGCGAAGCATTAGTTTTGGCTTGAAACTGTCAGATACTGTATTTGCGAAGGAATAGTTTTGTCAGCATATCTGAAAGTATACAAACCAACTGCTGTGCTTTATATAAGAAGGTTTTAACTGACTATGATAAGATCCCCATGCGTAGAACGGGCACACAGCTAGTATTAAATAAAACAACAAAATACTGACATACTGAAATACTCATCTTCCTGGAAGGGAACATCTATCTTCTTTTTAGCGAATTTCCCTGTAGGGAAGTAGCTATTACCGTAGGTCTCATGGTAAGACCTAAGCCCGGGACCGATTTACTTTTTCATTTTGATGTCCCCAGAGGCCAAAAACACCATTCGTTCAAATTTTTATATATCTATATATAGAGATATATATATATATATGTGTCCATCCGCACGATAACTTGAGTAATTTTTGTCCGATTTTGATAAAATTTGGTTTGAAGGTGTAAGGCAGGATAAACTTGAACGAGTTCGCGAACCAGCATGATCGGACTATGGGAACGGGGGTTTATGGGGGGTTTTATGGGGTAAAAATAGGTTTTTCCCATTTTTGATCCTAAAAACACAAAATTTCACAATTTCTTTTTAAACCATTTTGTAGAGCTTAAAAAAACAAATAATTAAGTATATTGAAGCGTTGTTATGCGCCTAATTGTTACGGAGAAAATTCAAAAAAATTGTAATTTTAAAATTCCCATGTTATTCTTATGGAGAATAAGTCAGCTGTTGTAGTTTGCTTCTTTATGAACATATTTTGATTGATTTTGGAAAATACTTTTATTTCTTACTAAACTATTTATAAAAAAAATCTTTTTTACCCTCCCCTTTGCAGCAAACCTAAGTACTCGTTAAACTAATTCTATTTAAATAGGAAATAAATGTGCTATTTTTATGAAGGCATTTTAGTGTAAATCCAATCAGGTTAATGGAAATTCGCTTAGTCTGCAGGTTTGCTGTGGCGGGGGTATTTATACAGTAGATTTAATTTATCAGGTGCTTTTCAAGTCCTTTGGAACCGCCTGATGGCTTTGGGACCGCCTAATGGATTCTGTGTCTTCACCTTGTTGAGATTGTCCATCATTGAACTTTTTGATTTGATGATTGTCTTGGACTAATTAACTCTGCTTGAGGTTTAGGTGGCGATATAGTTGGTAAAGGTCTAAGTGGTGATTTGATTGAAAAACTATCCTAGTTGTTGAAAAATTAGTCTTGAAAAAGTCCGGAATTAGTCTTGAATTTTAAAATGGAAATAAACTGTAATTTTTAAATAGACACCCTGTAATTTTTGTGTGAAATAATTGTCATCATTGTAATAAAGTTTTGTATAGATAAGCGTTATCAGAAAATTGAGATCTCCATCAAGCTCTGGTCGCAGCTAAGTGAGTTCAAATCTTAGACCAACGTCATGTTCCTTACTTTATTCTTATGTATTATGTGACTATTGTCATGGTATTAGTTAACGTTGTGAAATAAAATGTACAATCCCACCAAGTATAAATAGTGTTCTGCGATTAAATTTTCGTTGTCTCAGTGGGCAACCCTATTGATGTTCTTTGATTTTTGATGCAGGGCCGCTTTTATAAATGGGCCGGAGGATGCGGGGTAGAGAAAAATTCCTCACAATATAGGTGGAGAGGGGTGCAATTATCTATCTGTTTGGATGGAGTAAAGTGTTTGAATGTAGAAAATCCACACAAAGGGTCAATGTTGTTTGGATGTGGTCTTAAACATTTTTATGATATTTTACACGCTGTAGGCCAACTGCAACCCTTCACCATAGCAGCCCTTCACGTGAAGCAGTGGCCATATTTAGGGTACCGGTAATTACGCATGCTGATCGTGCTGTGTCTGAACGAGAGAGAGTGTGTGTCAAACAATTGGTGGGCATCTCTATAAGACTATGAATTACTAAGTTCATCTAAAACAAATTAAAACGATCAACCTCAACAATTTATTGTAATATTGATTTAGTTTTTAAAACCTCTACATTATTAGGTCTTTGATCTCATTGTTTGTCTTCAGCCGCTACATGCGCACAGAGTGTTTGAACTACAAATACAGCCATGATGATTTAATGCCTGTATCTCGCCTTCTTGCCAATGTGGGGAACAAGATGCAAGTGTGTACTCAGCGGTACGACCGCCGACCATTTGGGGTGGGACTTTTGGTTGCTGGCTATGATGTAAGTCTTACTTTTAATATTGTATTCAACTTTACTTTTAAAATGAACAATATTTTTGATGAAGTCATTTACATTTTCATGTCAGCTCACATCCAGAAAATCACATACTTAGCTTGAACGCTTCACCTTTTACTATGTTAAATATTTACTTTCGCAAAGTGTACCATTTGACCTGTGGTTAACTTACATCAGTTTAATTTTTTTTAAGGGATAGAGTTCATCAAGCTTGCCTGAGACAGTTAGAGTTCATGGGCCAACAACGCACAAGAAAAGGTTGCATAACACAACGCTTATTTTATGTTATAAGCGATACTGTGATAGTAAATCGTCATGTGTTCTTTTAGAGTAAAATCTGTCACTAAAACTCGACACTAATTTCTCACGAAAGCTAGCTGAACTCATTCCCTTTACAAAAAATCCCAATCAGCTACTTGGCTTCCCTTAAAAATGTAACTGTGATTTTATTACAAAATTGCAAAGGATTATATGTTTTACTTTTACCGTATTAATACATGAGGCAGAATATAATATTTTGATTTCAAATTTAAACAGCACACTGTTTAAGCATCCTTTTGTTACTACGTTCAAAAAATTTAGGCGGTTTTAGGGGAAGCAATTCCATATCCTACACCTGACCCTACCTTAGAAACAACAGCACAACAGCTGAGGTTCAGCAAAATGTCATCGGCTGCATAACATTAACATAACCTAAGTATCTGAGTAAACAACTACTGCACCGAGGAGCTAATGAACTACTCTAAAGATTGTATTACAACTGAGTTTGCAAGTTATACATAATATTGCACACATTGCCCTTAATGTAAAAAACTGACTTTCTTTCATTTACCATTGCTAAAAAGGTCTTGTATACAATACCTAGTAAAAAGTAAGTATTAAGTATTATTTGACCTATTGGGGTAATTTTTTAATTTGCATTTCTCGACTATGAGTAGGTAAGGTGAGGAAAATTCTCACTGACCACTAACTACGTTCCCTTTGGACATTAAGATTGGCCTGTCAAGATATGTAATTATTTGACCACTTAATACAGTCCAACCTCAGTATAACGAATCTGAAGGGACCGAACTGAATATTCGTTATATCAAGGATTTCGTTAAAATGAGGTTCGTTATATAGAGGTTAGGTTTGTAGGAATTACGCTAAGTCAAGGTTCAGAACCAGCGTCGGTCAATATAGGCCGGGATTTGACCTCAATAATACACAATTAAAGTAGCATAGGCTACAATACTTTACAGTACAGTGTTCATTGTACAGTAGAACCTTCTGTATCCAATAGTCAATGTTAGAACCTAAATTATCCGGCCTAATAAAGGTGAGGGATCTTGAATATTGCGCAATCATGACAATGGCATTGACCTTGGTACAGGTTAAAAACTGTAAGTTTAAAATCACAGCTTGTTATAACCCTCCTAAAACCTAGCCAAACACTACATTGCGTAGTCATAAACCATGTAAAAAACAAAACAAAACAGTAGAAAGTTTTGTAAGCTACTGACGGCTCCGTGATAGGCCGATAGGCTACTTACAGTACAGTACTGATTTAGTGATTTATCACATCAGAAGAATCTCAATAATAATCATGAACTATAGCATTGGTGTTGCTAGTTGAAACAAATCGTATTGAAAACAATAAATTATTAGATAAGTCATTATAAAAGTGCATATTCATAGCCAACTTAAAGATAATAAAAACACTCGTAAATTAAGGAATGTTAAAATAACGATGTTGCTATTCTTTCTCTTTGCTTTTGTTTTTATATTCTTTCTTAGATTTCTCTTTATCCAAAAATTGTACAATTCACCATATTTACTTCTCACCCAATCACAGCTTACTACAGATTACGTCGTCATCAGTCCTCAGGGAATGAAATCAGTTCTCAGTTGCAACATTGCGTGCGCAGCGACAGCAGACAGAGAGATGTGTAAAACGGAGCAGACGAATGTTAGCGCAAGCGATGACGTCACCTTTCCATTTCATTTGATAAAGAAACAGATTTTCCAAAAACAATACTGGGGTGGGGGATTCGTTATATCAAGGGAAAGACGTAGACAATTCGTTATGCAGAGGTTAAATTCGCAATGTAGAGGTTCTGACAATGATAAATTCGTTATATTGAGGTGTCTTATTTTAGCCGAAATCACGAGAAATTCGTTAAATCAAGGTCGTTGTTATGGTTTGTTCGTTATGTAGAGGTAAAATATACATAGTCTCTTATGGAAAGTTCTAGGGGATTAAAAAAATTTCGTTATATCAAGGAATTCGTTATATTGAGGTTCGTTATATCAAGGTTAGACTGTAGTTATTGAAAAAATTTCTATTTATGTAGTTTACCTATAGATACAATATTTCCACTTGCCAACAAACTTTTGGATAGCCTATTTTGTATTTAAACGTTAATTTCTTGAGGCATAAAATAAAAAATCTATTAGGACCTTTAACGAGTCCCTTATTTTGCCACTCTATATATAGAGTAATAGACTAAAATGTCTTTTTGTGGCTTAAACTTTCATAATAATGTTGTAATCACTGTAAGGACCTTCATCCTTACATAATGATGATGATTTGTTAAAATCACAAGTTAATTTTGTGATAAAATCATCACACACACTGATGTCTTTGGCAAAATTGAATCAGTCTTTCTTACATTTTGTTACAGTGTTTTAGTGAACTTACCCCTACATGGAAGTAGCTAATTACTGTAGGTGGCATGGAAGACCTAGATCTGGGACTGACTTCATTTTTCAGTCCCTGAAGCCAAAAACATTATTTAAAGTAGTCATATTTATTTATACTATTTCTCAGTAATTTGGGTGTATGAATTGAATTTATATGATCAATGGTATTCATCCAAATTTACTTTTCTTTTGAACTGTATTATGCAATTTGCCTGTATACTGTGTAGATGGTTTGTTATGATCATACATTACGACTCTTTGTTTAAATTTTTGAAAAAACCATCATGGATATGCCTACAAAACTTGCCAAACCCACTACCAACTGACTGATATTGACCTGGTTAATGTTATAAATACTAAAATTTTACTGATATTTTTTTCTTAAAAAAAATTATCCCAGAAAAAGTGCATAGAATTTTCTACATTTTCAAAGTGTGCTTTTCATGATTCTTGGAATACTTAACATGGATAGTAAGCACGCCATAGCGTGTTGGGTGTTTGAAATAACGTCTACACTGTAGTGCTTGGGCTGTTGACAAGGCCTTTATCTCTTTAAGATTACTATACTGTACACACTATATACACTCAAGGCTATAAAGGAAGGTGTGTGCATCGCGAGGCGTAAACTCGTCCAGTTTGTGCAGCTACTTCACGTATGAGTGTCCCTAGTGCGCTGCTCACACAAACTGCTTGCTGAATGTGTTTTTTAGTTTACCAAACATGTTTTGTTATCATTTGCCGATTTACAAAACATTTTGAAACATAATTACTGCTTTGCTAACATAGAAAAGAGTTGAAAAAATAACTAAGATGATTTAAACTAAATACAATGCATGACAATTTACATTTAGTTTGAGACTAGTTTTACAGACAAACTTTTGGTTTTGGAGTTTATACATTTTACACACAACATTACATTTGAAAGAAAGTGACTTACATTTTCTATAAATAGTGTTCAACTTTTAAGATGCCAAGAAAGTAACGGTTTATTTAAATCATAAACGAGGTAAAGTTGGCGTTGTTAACACCTCCTAGGTATAAAGTATAAAGTAGATCTGCTAATCTTAACCTGTTACAAAGAGTATCAAATGAATGTTACATAAATAGTTTAATATTTTTGTGAAGAAATTTTTTTAACCTAATATTTGGTAAAAATTGCATGGCCGGTATTCTTTTTAGATCTTAGCTTTTGTCAATTTCTTGATGGCTTTCCTCAACGTAAGAGTTTGTATGATAAAACACAGTAAATTTCATTGCATAAAGAAAACCATTTTAGACTAGGAAATCCCAACTTACTTCCTCTTATGTTATGCCAGGGGTATTAGACAATTTTAGTGCAATTTAGTTACACATAGGTGGCACGGTAAGACCTAGGCTAGGACCGATTTACTTTTTCATTTTGATGTCCCCAGAGGCCAAAAACACTATTCCTTTAAAATATTATATATGTTTATATATAATATGTGTGTCCATTATTGTGTTGATAACTTGAGTAATTTTTTTCTGATTTTGATCAAATTTGGCTTGAAGTTTTAGGGCGGAATAAACTTCAAAGAGTTTAAACAGCAGGATCGGACAATGGAAATGAGGTTTTATGGGTACAAAATTTTGTTTTTCTTATTTTCAACCCTCAAAACATACAATTTCCTACTTTCTCTCTACTATTTTGAGGAGCTTAAGAAACGAATCATTCCAATTACATCTGCTTCTTCTATATTGTAGTGTTTTTATACAGTTATTGGTTATGGGGGAAAATTCAAAAGTTGTAAACTTAAAATTTAATTCCCATGTTATTCTTACGGAGAATAAGTAAACTGTTGTAGTTTGCTTTTTTTTTATTACATGTACTGCAAACACCATTTTACCATTTGTGTGATGAAGTTAGTACCGTGAAATGTTTTTTTTTCAACATCAGACATAATTAAAATATAGCAACAAGATGAGGGTTTATACCAATCCCTAAAAAAAATTAATGAAATACCAAGGCATAGAATAGGGACACAACAAATAAAATAGGCTATAAAAAATTCCAAAACTAATAAAATCGGTATTATTACGTTATATTCAATAATTTACTTCTACGGTATGAAATGAAACATATTTTATCCTACTTACCATCTGTTTGATATTACCATAGACAAAATAGAATAAATATATATACTGTCAAAGGAAGGTTCCGCAATGTGCCGCTAGTAGGGCCGTGTAGTTACAAGCAGACCCTGTAGCAGTGTGCGCCGTTACTACACGGCACTCCTAGCAGTTGGCGCCTTAACATATGCTAACCGCAGCACTGCTGTCGGTCTATATTTATTCTATTTGTCTATGATATTACTCTAGAACTGGCAGATGTTTTTGATGAACACTGTTATTTTTAGGATCAAGGACCTCATATCTACCAGACTTGTCCATCAGCAAACTTCTTTGACTGCAAGGCAATGGCTATCGGGTCTCGTTCTCAGAGTGCTCGCACCTACCTTGAGAAGAATCTAGACAAGTTCCCTGGATGTGACACAGAAGAACTGCTCAAACATGGCCTACGCGCTCTTCGGGACACTCTGCCTAATGAAGTTGATCTGAACACAAAGGTATTAGCTTACATGCATCGTGCCATAGAAAATATGTACCATCCAAACCCTGCGTAGTGATAAAAAATGTGTTGTTTGTCTTACTGAATTTTTTGGCCTGAGTCTCTGGTACTTCTCAAATAAATATCCCAATTGGGCACGATGTAGTGCCATGTCAGTTGTAGCCAGACTATGCGTGAGTTTTTTAGTGAAAACCATGAATCATCAATAGGCTAGTTAACGCTGCACTGGAGGAAAAATTAACGTTTTGATCTTTGTTTTTCCTGCAATCAGTTATAAGGACGCAAGTATACCCTTCACATACACAGGGTGACAATTAAGTCTTAAGACGACTTTATAACTTAAAAACAAAAAGAGATATCACAACCAAATTTGTCAAATCATTACTGGTAATAGTAATCTACTTTTTGGTGTACATGGTGATCCGATGTCACCTATGGGCGATGCCCCATAGGGAGTAAGTTGACAATATTAAAGGTAAGCAAAGGTTGATATGTACATTAAATTAAAGGTCTTGTTAAACTAAAAACAATGCCGAAAACGGACCTCAAATGGACAAATGGAAAAATGGCAGCTGTTAAAGATTTCTTGAATCTGCCATTTTGAATATTCAAACGGCTGCCATTTTTTACTCAGTTGTTCTTTTGAGCTCAAATCTGTGGCATTGTATTCTACAAATAAAGACCTTTAAATCGATGTGCATATTGACCTATGCAAACGTTTATAATTAATTCTCTTCCGTCTTCTAGCAGACGGACCTGAGGAGGTAGCGTATAATAGCATTGCAATTTCAATGCATCTTTGAACAGTTGTAATTTTTGACTCGGCTGTTCATTTAAGGTCTAGTTTGCGGTATTGCTTTTAGTTCAACAAAACCTTTAAAAATGCCTTAAAAATTATTTACTTGTGAATTATGAGACTGTGAATGTCTTAACTTATTATTATTGCTTATTGTAAAATCAGATATCTAATGTACTTCCTTGACATAGCAATACAATGTAGCATTTTATGTAGAACTGGTACCTGCAGCATTAATGTTATTTTAATTTTATTTTGCATAAATATGTGTGAGTGACTTTAGTTAACTCTGAAACTAGTTTTGTTAATTAATGCATTTTAACCCTTGTATTCTGTTATTTAGAACGTTGCTATTGCCCTGGTTGGAGAGAAAACACCTCTTAGAATCTTTGATGAGGAGGAAACTGGCCGATACCTGGCTCTCATCGAGGGAGAGGAGCGACGTGGTGGTGCCCCCGCTGACGACCCCCCTGCTCCTCCTCCGGGCCCCCCTGATGCGGGGGAAGAGTCCCAGGATCCCCGGGTATCTGTAGCCATGGACACAGAATAGATGCCTTCTCTAATCCTTTCCCCTACCTGGAGATCCTAAACCACAAGTTTTGGCCGTGGTTGCAGATAGCTGAATTTTTGGTCATTTTCAACAATAATTTATTCTATCATTGTTTATTGTGTTTCTAATAATTTTTATTTGCAACCACGGCCAAAATAAACAATATTTGCATATGCATTTTAAATTAATAAAATTGATTTTTTGGTAATTGAAGTATTATTTTTTAACCTAAACTAAACAATACCATGTACTGTACAAAGAAAATATATTGAACAATATAAAATACTAGTGTACCTGTTGTTCGAAATCGAGCAATTGTCAAGTTACCGGTATTATACAGAAGTTATTTTAAAACTACAGTAATAACAGTCATAATTTTCGATGAGTTTAAAAGACCCGACTAAATGCTTACATAACTAATTGAAATACTCACGCTATTTAATAGCGCTTTCAAATAATAAACTCTTCTTGTAAAAATATTTTAGGACCCGGCCTTATATTTTTGTGTTTTCTACAAATGTTTCCCGACTTAAAGCTTTTACCAGTGAGTAAACATTTCTTGCATGTATTTATTTGATCTGACTTTATGTATGTTTACTTTACCACTGTGACAACATGATGTGTATATACTTTATGGTTTTTTTACTATTATTCATTTTGATAGCCCCTGGACTACGAATAATGACTTATATAGGCTTACCTACGTCAGTAGTCCAAAATTGTGTCTTTTTCAACTAATGTTGTTCAAAGCTTACATGTTTCGTTGCATTGCAACATCGTCAGAGCTTTTTGTCAAAAACATCAAATAATTTACACATAGGACAAAACACGGAACACGAAACATTTAAACACGTAATAACACGATAGCGCTATCGACACGGCACGGCAGCGGTTGTAGGTAGACTGGACACGGGTTAAGTAACTTCGTCCCGTCCTTCTCTGTTATCAGCTCGGTGGTCAGCTGTTCCAGATGAGATAACGGTGTTGAAGAGGGAGTGGGACTTGAATTGTAGTTTATCATTGAGGATGTATTCCTTGTGTTCTTCGTTTACGTTCATTTTATATATCTCGTACTCCTCAAGTGTGTCCAACTTATTACCTTTCCCGCAAAAATGTAGAACTTCCAAGCCGTTCTTAATATCACTCATTGAGTGATTACAATCTACAAGATGTTGAGCAAACGCAGATTTTTGTTTATGGTGTTTAGGATCTGGTCGGTGTTCTTTATATCGTGTTTGAAAGGCACGACCTGTTTGCCCTATGTATTTGCTAGGACAATCCGGACAAGATATCCTATACACGCCGGTCTTATCTACTTTGTCACCTATCTCAACTTTATTTGCCAATACGTTCCTGGTACGGTTTGTGGTTCTGAAGGCTAGTTCAATGCCTTGTTTAGCGAGTTCTTTCTTTAATGCGTGTTGGATAGTGTGACTATATTCCACACAGACATATTTTTTCTTCTCTGAGCTGTCAATCTTCACACCTTGTTTGTTTTTATGTTTTTTGATGAGCCTATCTACCAAACCGCTTTTATAACCATTGACTGTAGCTATATGTTTTATAATTTTGTATTCAATATCATAATTTACTGCATTTAACGGAACTGTTAACATCCTATGGACCAATGAATTAAATGCTGACATTTTTTGAGAATATGGGTGGTATGAAGTATTGTGGATAGTTTGTGCAGAAGTAGTTGGTTTCCTGTAGATGCTATAATCGAAACTGTCAACATTCTTCCTTATGGTTAAATCTAAAAAATGTATGCAGTTCGATTCTTCTGTTTCAAGTGTGAATTCTAATTTTGGTGCTATTTGATTTAAATATTTGAGGAGGAGGTTTAATTGTCTCTTGTTGCCATCAAACAATACAATGGTGTCATCTACATATCTATAGTACATGAGTATTTTATCTTTATATTTGTTTTTATCTGAAAATATGTTATTATTTTCAACGTGATTCAAGTAGATATCAGATAAGATACTTGATAGTGGCGAACCCATAGCAAGGCCGTCGTTCTGTAAATAATATTTACCATTAAAAGTAAAATAGTTTTGACGGAGTACTTCAGTTAATAGTTGTAACATTTCATTTATTGCTTCAGGTAGTAAGTTTGAATGTTTATTTAGGTTGTCATGAACGATGTCCAATGTGGTTTTCAATGGGACATTGGTATACAGGTTTACAATGTCAAATGAGGCAAGAGATTGGTGCATTTTTATTTTAAAGTCTTTCGTTTTATTTATGAAATCGTAGGTGTTTTTTAGGCTATGATTGTTTTCAAGGACAATATTTTCTTTCAATAAACATTCACAAGTTTTTTTACTTCCAAATAAGTCGCTTAGCGTAACTGGCAAAAATGATTCATCTCCCCAAGTGATTGTGTACCTGGATTCCGTACTGTGAGACCAAGCCTCTCCTCTACTCTTCTCATACGTATAAGAAGATTTCCTATTAATTGTCTCCTCCTCCTGTTTTCAAGATTTCTCCTTTAAACTCAAGAAATTTTCTGTTCTTCCAACAAAACTGAATGACTGTTTAGATTTGTCTATAACCTCCTAAATATTACAGACATCAATATTTACTACCAAAAAGTTGGTTAGTTTATTTTTATATATAGCTGTTTTTGTTTTTAAATTATTTTTCAATGTAATTCTTATGGGGAAAATGAGACCTTTGAGAGCATCTCGTGCCCTTAAGAGTCTTCATCACCCTGCGTTTTGGGGATATGGCCTTGGGGGGGAAGGTGTTGTAGACGGGAGGGTAGCGTGGGGTCATTATGCACGCCATTATGAAAACATCTTAAACACACAACTACTAAATAGACATGTCAGTGATTCATCTGCCGCCTGAGCCAAGTTTTGTAAAAGGCTAGTAGCGAAGTAGCCTCTGACAAAACATGTCAATTTCGTCCCCCGTTTCGGAGGCCGTTTTTCAACAGATGTTCTTCAAAGTTGGTATCAATGTAGTTGAATAGTTATATTAGAGCTCTTAAACCTTAAAAGGTTGAAAATGGAAAAAATAATTAATTTTTTTAAGTGTTTAAAAGTGACTCAATTTACGTTACTTTAAGATTTTTCTGTACTTATACTATTGATTTTCTTGGATTACAATCACCCACTGCAGTTGTGATTTTTTTACTTTACACTTTACATAATCGCCATTGAAGGTGTATTGACATAATCGTCTATGAGTGGAAACCTTGTTTGTAAGCTATTGACGACGATCATTAAGTGTCCCAGCCATATACAGCACTGATTCAAGGTCTTTTTTCTGGTTATCAAAACTCAAGAACAATTTTATACACAATGAATTTCTGGTTCCTGACCTGGATGATGCCTAGTTATTTAATTTCATTTACGGTTACACTATGATATTGCACTTGCGATTAATTAAATCCATCATGTAAGAAAAACGTTTTTAATCTCACTTGTTTCGGATTTGCTTTCAAAACGTGATTCGAAATGGTTGCGGTATTAGTAAACAACATTTGTAAACATATCAGTGACAGCTAGAAAAAATTATCTTGATCCGAACAGCTGTTCGTCATTTCATAGACGATTATGGGATAAAAATTGAACGAAAATTTGACAAAAACTGCACAAAACTGCATTTTTGAACGTCCGTAATTTTATTTACAAAGTAGTGAGGCCATATTTTAATCGCTAAAGACACTCTCGCCAATCCTGTGAATAAATTAAAATGACTTGGATCTTGATAGGATAGACTTCACGAAGAAGATTGCGTAAAATGCCATCTTGAGTGTTACAGACAGACAGACAGAAATAGAGATAACTTGTTTCTGCTTCTTTAATGTATAAAAAGTAAAAATAGCATAAATATGTATAGTTCTGAGCAATGTACGGACAAAACTCTAATTTTATTTATATAGATACACAAAGAACATGTGTTGAATAAAGTAAAATGAAAACTCTAAACACATACAAATTTTGCCAGTATCATCAAAAAGGTACATGCATGAAACACAAGAAAAAAATCGTAAGATTTTACAACATGGTGCAGAGTGTAGACTACTTCCTTTATGTTGTAGTATCCAAACTCAATCACAGAAAGAAATATAGCTATCTCTGGTTAAAATCCATGCTTCAATTTAAAAGTCTTTATTTTGAGTTAATAAAAAATGTCAAAGAAACAAGTGGAACATTACCTGCAGGTTATCAGAACATGTGCTTAAATTATAACTATTTAAAGAAGGACATGAATAATGTATGTAAGGTTCAAAACACGGTTGTGGTCCACCTTGTCATTTTAGAACATTCTATTAAAGGTGATGAAATTCCTTAAATAGCTGTAAAAGAGGTAGTTGCTGGACCTTGACCAACCTACATTAGTAGCAACCTGCCTCGTCCAAATAGCAATAGCATATACATACAGGGTGTTCTGCAAAAGGATGACAAAACTTTGAGTTTCAATACAACTCGTCTGAAAAGGAAAAATATCCAATACACTCCTTTTATTTTCTGTGAAAGTAAGACTTTTATCTAAAAAAATATTATCTCAAATGCAACATATTTTACTTTTACACGTGGATATTTTTAAATTTCAAAATCAACTACGTATTTCCAAAGAAGTTAACATCTTTGACTGACTCTCAGTAGCTAAGCTAGAGAGCAAAGATTACAGAAACTGTGTAAGGATATCTGGATTTCTATTTGTAAAACCAGGTCTTTCTTTTCATACTCTTTTTTAAACGCATGAGATACATCACCAATAATCCTGTTTTCATATTATATTTCTTTTAAAGCCTTTGCATTTTCAATTTTCCCAAATAAAACTGCTACTGAATACCAAAAAACTTACTCTGTCTATCACATCGATATTTAAATGCACAAAAAACTGAATCGCCGGCTATTCGAAGATCGCTGGATGACGAGATTGCCAAGATGAGTGTGGGACCGAGCAATCATCAAGAGTGATATTCTCCCTGCTCATAAACAGCTGATAATCATACTCAATATTTAATGTTATATTGTTGTAACAATGGTTTTAATGTAAGCATCAGAACACACGTTTTAAAGTAAGGGGAAGTAGGGTTTATATGTATGTCTACTGTGTATTTACTTCTATTATTCAATAAACTTACCTCATGGTAATTAGAAGTTATTTTCTGGTGAAATCCTAACCCTAACAATGTTCTCACAAGGTACTAGTCAAAGCTGAACTAATAAAGCAATTGGCAT